CTCTTCCTTGTCCCTCCTCTCCCCTATCACTCTTCCCTCTTCCCTCTCATTCCTCTTCCCTCTCCCCTCTCACTTTTCTGTCCTCTCCCCTCTCTCTCCTCTGTCCTTCCCCGTACCCTCTAACCTCTCACTCCCTTGCCTTTTCCCCTCTCACTCTCTCGTGTACCCACCGTCTCTGGCTGATGAAATTTTAGTCACATGTATGAATTCCTGAGCTTTGAGACCCGGCTGGAGGAGGTCAAGACAAGCCTTTGATCTCTCTCTGTCGTCACTGCAGTCTCTCTCTTCTCTCTCTCTTCCTCTCGCTTTCTGTCTCTCTCTTTCTCTTTCTCTCTCTCTGTCTGTTTCTGTTTGTCTGTCTGTCTGTCTGTCTGTCTGTCTGGTCTGTCCTCTGTCTCTGTCTGTCTCTGTCTCTGTCTCTGTCTCCTGCTCTGTCTCTGTCTGTCTGTCTGTCTGTCTGTCTGTCTGTCTGTCTGTCTGTCTGTCTGTCTGTCTGTCCTGTCTTTCGTCTCTCTCTCTCTCTCTCTCTTCCTCTCTCTCTCTCTCTCTCTCTCTCTCTCTCTCTCTCTCTCTCTCTCTCGCTCTGCGTCTTTTTCTCTCTCTCTCTCCCTTTCCCTCGGTCTATATTTCTTTCTTGCTCTCTTTCTATTCGTCGTTCTCTCTTCATTCTTACGCTCTCTCTCTCTCTCTCTCTCTCTCTCTCTCTCCTCTCATCTTCTCGTCTCTCCTCCTCTCTCGTCGTCTCTCTCTCTCCTCTTCTCTCATCTCTCTCTCTCTCTCCTTTACCTCTCATTCTCTCTCTCTCTCTCTCTCTCATCATGTCTCTCTCTCTCTCTCTCTCTCTCTCTCTCTCCCTCCCTCCCTCCCTCCCTCCCTCCCTCTCTCTCTCTCTCTCATCTCTCTCTCTCTCTCACTCTCGTCCCTCCCTCCCCCCCCCCTCTCTCTCTCTCTCTCTTATTTTTCTTTCTTTCCTCTTCTTTCCATCTTTCCTCTTTACTTCATCGTCCCCACTTCTAGGTTAATTTCCCAGGTACATCCCTCTCCGCTGTTTCTCTCCATTCTTTTTATTTATCTCCCCTTCTATTGGTTTCCTTTTTTTATTCTCGCATTCTTCTTCCTTCTCCTTCTTCTCCTCTTCCTCCTCATCCTCCTTCTTCTTCTTCTTCTTCTTCTTCTTCTTCTTCTTCTTCTTCTTCTTCTTGTACTTCTTCTCCTCCTCCTCCTCCTTCGCCTCCTTGTCCTCCTGCTCCTACCCCTCCTCCTCCCCCTCTTCCTCCTCCTACACCTCCTCCCCTTCCTCCTCCTCCTCCTCCCCCTCCTCCTCCTCCTCCTCCTCCCTATCCTCCCCTTCTACTCCTCCTCCTCCTCCTCCTCCCCCTCCTCCTCCTCCTCCTCCTCCCCCTCCTCCCCTTCTACTCCTCCTCCTCCTCCTCCTTCCCCTCCTCCCACTCCTTCTCTTCCTCCTCCTCCTCCTCCTACACCTCCTCCTCCTCCTCCTCCGCCTAGACTTCCTCCTCCCTTTCTCTCCTTTCCTTCCTCCCCCTCCTAACCCTCCTCCTCCCCCTCCTTCCCCTCCCCCTCCCACTCCTTCTCCTCCTCCCCTTCCTCCTCCTACACCTCCTCCTCCTCCCCCCCTCCTCCTCCTCCTCCTAGACATCCTCCTCCCCCTCTTCCTCCTCCTACACCTCCTCCTCCTCCCCCCCTCCTCCCCTTCCTCCTCCTACCCCTCCTCCTCCCCCTCTTCCTCCTCCTACACCTCCTCCTCCTCCTCCCCTCCTCCTCCTCCTCCTAGAACATCCTCCTCCCCCTCTTCCTCCTCCTACACCTCCTCCTCCTCCCCCCCTCCTCCCCTTCCTCCTCCTACCCCTCCTCCTCCCCCTCTTCCTCCTCCTACACCTCCTCCTCCTCCTCCTCTCCTGCTCCTCCTCCTAGACATCCTCCTCCCTCTCTTCCTCCTCCTCCCCCTCCTCCCCTTCTCCTCTTCCTCCCCTCCTCCTCCTCCTCCTCCTAGACATCCTCCTCGCCCTCTTCCTCCCCACTCCTCCTCCCCCTCCTACCCCCTCCTCCTCCCCCTCCTCCCCTCCTCCCCTTTCCACGTAAGACAAATCACTTCAATATTGAGACAAGACGTTTGAGTTCTTGTTCTCTTCGTCTGCCTGTTTATTCTTTTTTGTGTTTTATTTCCCTTTTCGCTAAATATCTTTTATATCTCTTCTTCTTTTTTCGGTTTGTCTCTTGCTCTCTCTATCTCTTCTCTCTTTGTCTCTTTCTCTTTCTCTCCTTTTCTGTCCCTCCCTCTCCCCCCTCTCTCTCTTCTTGTTTCCCTTCTTCTCTCTCTCTTCTCTTTCTTTGTCTCTTTTTCTTTCTCTCTTTTTCTCTCCCTCCCTCTCCCCCCCCCCTCTCTCTCTTATTGTTTCCCTTCATATATACCTTTCTCGGTTTTCATTCCCGTAATATCAATTTTCTCTCTATTCCCTATTTATATTTCCTTCCTTCCTTTCCTCCCCCCCCTCTCTCTCTCCTCTTTCACCCCTTTCCTCCTTCCCTTTCCTTCCCTCTTTCACTTCCTCCCTTCTCCATCCCCTACCACTATCTCTCCTCCCTCTTCATTTCATCCTCTCTCTCTCTCTCTCTCTCTCTCCTCTCTCTCTCTCTCTCTCTCTCTCTCTCTGCTCTTTCCTCCACCTCTTCCTCCCTTCCCTATTCTCCCCTCCCCTCTTTTCCCCTCTTCCCTCCTCTCTCTCCTCTCTCCCTCCTTTCCCTTCCTCCCTCCCATATGTTTCTCCCCCCTTCCCTTCTTCCCTCCTTCTCTTCTTCCCATCTTTCCAATGTTCTCTCTCTTTCTCCTCCCTTCCTCTCTCTATCTCAGGTAGGTGGGTAGTTGGGTAGGTGGGTAGTTGGGTAGGTGGGTAGTTGGGTAGGTGGGTAGTTGGGTAGGTGGGTAGTTGGGTAGGTGGGTAGTTGGGTAGGTGGGTAGTTGGGTAGGTGGGTAGTTGGGTAGGTGGGTAGTTGGGTAGGTGGGTAGTTGGGTAGGTGGGTAGTTGGGTAGGTGGGTAGTTGGGTAGGTGGGTAGTTGGGTAGGTGGGTAGTTGGGTAGGTGGGTAGTTGGGTAGGTGGGTAGTTGGGTAGGTGGGTAGTTGGGTAGGTGGGTAGTTGGGTAGGTGGGTAGTTGGGTAGGTGGGTAGTTGGGTAGGTGGGTAGTTGGGTAGGTGGGTAGTTGGGTAGGTGGGTAGTTGGGTAGGTGGGTAGTTGGGTAGGTGGGTAGTTGGGTAGGTGGGTAGTTGGGTAGGTGGGTAGTTGGGTAGGTGGGTAGTTCTCCTCCCTCCCATATGTTCTCCCCCCCTTCATTCTTCAATCATTTTGCTTCTCCCTCCTCTCTCCGTCTCCCCCCCTTCCCCTCTCCCACCTCTTCCTCCCTTCTCTCTCCTCCCTTCCCTTTCCTCCCCTCCCCTTCCTTCCCTCCCTCCCTTCCTCCCTTCCCTTTCCACCTCCCCCTTCCCCTCCCCTCCCACTTCTTCCTCCCTTCTCTTTCCTCCCCTTCCTTCCCTCCCACCTCTTCCTCCCTTCCCCTCCCACCCCTCCCATCCCTCCCATCGCTCCCCTCCCATCCCATCCCTCCCTCCCCTCCCTCCCATCCCCCTCCCTTCCTCTCCCTCCCCTCCCTTCCTCCCTCAGTCTCAAATTACTCTAAAGCAACACGAACCACAGCGAGTAACCAGAGGAATTACTCGGGAAATAAGCACACACATGGATACACACACACACACACACACACACACAGACACACACACACACACAGACACACACACACACACACACACACACACAGACACACACACACACACAGACACACACACACACACACACACACACACACAGACACACACACACACACACAGACACACACACAGACACACACACGGGATTACTATATTAGGCCTTAGGGGTAGTTGGGGAGGTGGGGAGGTGGGGAGGTGGGGAGGCGGGGAGGTGGGGAGGCGGGGAGGCGGGGAGGTGGGGAGGTGGGGAGGTGGGGAGGTGGGGAGGCGGGGAGGTGGGGAGGTGGGGAGTTGGGGAGGTGGGGAGGCGGGGAGGTGGGGAGGTGGGGAGGCAGGGAGGTGGGGAGGTGGGGAGGTGGGGAGGTGGGGAGGTGGGGAGGTGGGGAGGTAGGGAGGCGTGGAGGTGGGGAGGCGGGGGGGTGGGGAGGTGGGAAGGGGGGTAGGTGGGTAGCTGGGCAAGTGGGTAGGTGGGTAGTTGGGTAGGTGGGTAGTTGGGTAGGTGGGCAAGTGGGTAGGTGGGTAGTTGGGTAGGTGGGTAAGTGGGTCGGTGGGTGGGTGGGTAGGTGGGTAGATGGGCAAGTGGGTAGGCGGGTAGTTGGGTAGGTGGGTAAGTAGGTAGGTGGGTAGGTGGGTAGGTGGGTAGATGGGCAAGTGGGTAGGCGGGTAGGTGGGTAAGTAGGTAGGTGGGTAGGTGGTTACGTGGGTAGGTGGGTAGGTGGGGAAGTAGGTAAGTAGGTAGGTGGGTAGGTGGGTAGGTAGGTAGGTGGGTAGGCGGGTAGGCGGGTAGGCGAGTAAGCGGGTAGGTATGTAGGTGGGTAGGTGGGCAAGTGAGTTGGTGGGTAGGTGGGGAGATGGGCCTGTGGGTAGTTGGGTAGTTGGGTAGGTGGGTAGGAGAGAGAAGCAGAGTAGGTGAGAATGATGGATTGAGGAGAAGGGTAAAGGTGTATTGGTAAGTGGGGGGGGGGGGTTGGGGGGAATAGAGGGTAAAGGGATATGGGGGGGGGTATGAGGGGATACAAGGGCATAAGGTAAGGGAGGGAAGTAGGGTTGGTGAGACTGAAGGAGTTAAATGGGTAAAGATATATGGGCAAGGGGCATGGGTAAGGGTGTGTGAGTATATAGGTAAGGGTGTATGGGTAAGAGTGTATGGGTAAAGATATATGGGTAAGGGTGTATGAATGAAGGTAGTATGTATGGACAAGGGTGTATGTATGGGTAAAC